AAAGAGGCATTTTTGACAGTCTTGCTGTGTCACAATCGTCTTGCTCCAGTCTCCCAAACAATGAGCATTACAGTTAAGCACAACTGTGCTGAGCATGTTCAGGTTAACTCAGGAACTTAACCTGCGCCTCCCATGTGGCCTCCAGTCTCAACACTATATTTTCTTAAATCTAAAGAGCTGTCTTAAAAAAAAACTGTATTTTATTTATTTCATAATTTCTTATTTATATTTAATTGTTGTACATCATTGTGGGTTACAATATAGTTTTTCAAAACACGCATGTAGTGTGTGATAATCAAATCAAGGATATGACTATATTCGTCATCTTCAAAAAAGTACACTACATTATTAATAAGGATGATACCATTCCCTCTTTCTCACACATGCATTATAGTTCTAACTCTAAAAAATTCTTGAGAAATATTCTAGATGACCTGGTTTGGGTCATAGGTCTAAATCTGAACCAATCCTTAGAGCCAGAGGATGAAATATTATAGTTGGCAAACTCTACTAGAACCACAAGGTTTGGAGAAATATTTTCCAGAAGGAGGAGCAGACAAAATAATATTTGGGCTGGCCCCATAGGCTAGTAGTTAAGGTAAGCCAGATTCCACATGGCCAACTGCAGTTCAAATCCTGACCTTGTGTACATGTGGATAGAATGGAGAAATGGAAGAGAAGAGATTGCGGAGTGACTATGCCTGACTCAGGAGTGCATTCTCCCTCTCCCTGTCTCTGTCTCTTGTCAGTCCATGTGCCTGCTGGAAAACTGTTTTAAAAATGTAAATAACAGTCACTGTATATCTCTTTATACTACATGCCATCACTTCTCATGTATAATGATCTTGTTACAAGCTTGAAGGCTGATATGGTTCTCCCTAAAGAGACTGGAATTGTGAGCTAAGAGGAAGGATGTGAAGACAGGCTAGATAGGAGACTTATTCTCAGTTATTGATTCTAGATCTATCAGCTGATTAATTTGTGTCTCATATATGTTGTCAAGACTAAGATATCTTAAGAGCCTGATTCCTTTATGTAGAAATTACATGGGGCCCAGCTTCCATGGCTCAGTAGTGTGCCAGATTGCTGTGCTGGAAGCCACATACTGACCACAGTGTGAATCCCCAGCCTGGCTGGCCTGAAAATACCTAAGATGAGCACACACACTTAGGATCCTGGCAGTCTGAAGAAAGGAGGTCACAGTGTGACCAAACCCTATGGTAGGTGCTTCTCTCTTTCTCATTCTTGCTTTATCATGATTTTTAAAAATTAGTTAATTAAAAAAATAATTAAATGGGAGCTTTTTTTTTTTTTGGAGAGATTTTTGCTATAGGGCATGTGCGCTCACCAGAAAGACAGAGAGAGACAGAGACAGAAAGCGAGAAATCACCCCCCAGGGGGGATGGCCATGCTGCAATCCCTTCTCCTCCATTCTCCTCTCAGGATCTTGGGCACACATGCACACACATGCGCCTGGCATGAGTTTAAGCCACCGGGTCCGGGACTCGAACCTTGGTCGACTATATGGGAGTCCAGCGACACAGCCATTACGCTAACTGCTGGTTCAAATGGGAGCTTCTTGAAAGCTCCTGATTGTGTTGTTGTGTGTTCTACTCTATAGTGGAGTCTTCATGTTCATGTTCTATAGATGTTAAGTAAATGTGAATTGAGGATATAAAGATACTTGACATTCTAAACTCTTGAGAAAACAAAATATAAGTTCTAATTAAAACATTTCTGATGGAAACTTAGTGTTCATGATTTCCAGTTGTGTATGTGTTTTTTTTTTCTAATGAAGTAAGCTGCTTTAATTTTCTTTCTAAAAATTTTATTTGGATGAGGTCAGAAATTGGGAAATTTCTCTTCCATTACTCACACTGCATCCCAGCTGCTAGCCTCATGTTTCCTTGACACACTATAGAGGAGCTGTGTATGAGCTATGGCTCTGCCTCAAGGCTTACCAGGCTTGACAGAGAAGCCCCAGGCTCAAAAAGACCCTTCTTCCAAAAAAGAGCTTCTGTCGTGGGTGGCACACGCCGGGCGGCTCGTTCACTCTGCGTGCAGAATCGACATCAAGAGATTTTGGAAGCATAATTTTTTGGTAATTGGGCAGCTGGTGATCATTGGTCCCGGCACCCTGAAAAAAAAAATGAACCTTCTTCCTAGGGTCTGTGGTTGTCACTTAATGGTCTCGCTTCTGAGTGACTCTGAACCATGAAGGCCCTTGGCACCTGCTAGAATAGCTGGCTTTATATTGATATCAAGTCTCTTCACTCCATTTGGACTTTAATATACAAATGAGAAATAAAGTCCAGCGGGCTAGTATACCTTAAAAGCCCTAAGGAAATCTTTTCTTGTAAGCTTTTGAGTCTTCTGGAAGATATTTTTAAAAGATGCATTCATTCATGTATGCACGTATGCATGCATTCCACTAAAAAAAGAGAGTGACAGAGAGAGAGACAGAGACATCCCCAGTAGTCTCCATACTGTGATTCACCCCCAGCTTCAGCCAACCTGGATCACAAGAGCACATATATCATGCTTAGCATGTTCAGGAAGGTGCCAGGATGTGAACCCAGGACCTTTCCCACTTGGGACAATTGCATTACCATTGTACGACCTCCAGGCCCCTGAAAGATTATTTGTCAGTGATATTAATACTTACAGTATCTTCATTTCTCTTTCCACCTAGCTGAGCCCAAAATGCCTTTTCATCTCTTTTCAATTGTCCTACCCAATCACTTCAACAAGATATGTTTTATCAGGGAAATAAATAGGGAAAGGAAATAAAAGAATTTCATACCTTTGGGTATGGACACATTTTAGGAAGTACATAGGAATAGACATGTCTATAGCTAGATGATTGAATTCTAACAGTCTCAGCATAATAAAAATGAAAGCAGATTTCAACTTTGAATACAAATACCCAGAAATGCCTGCAGTCCCCTCCTCCTCCAGAAGATATCAAGGAAATAGATATGGCTAATTGAGGCTTACTCAGAAATAAAATGGTTGATCACTGTACATAAAGGTAAAAAGTTATTTTCCTATCAGCCACATAAATTGCTAACCCCAACTCCTAGTATGTCTGCCTACTTCCCTCTCCCTTTTCCTTAACCATAATTTACAACTCCTGTCCCTCCATGTCTTCCAATCCTTCCCTCTCATGAATGCTGCTCTCCAGTACATCTCTGCCACTCCCCAACTGGATTCTACATTCTTCCTCCCTGGTTAATCAGACCCTGGTGGGAGGCAGGCTGAACAATGAAGAAGAATAATGTCTGACATTTAGCAGGTGTGTTCACACCCAGCCCTGCCACTTCCTGGCTGGTGACCTGGCTAAGTTATTTAACTCCTGTGACAAGGGGGACTTAGAATTGCTCCTTTCTCCTACATTTCTGTGAAGATTAAAATATCTGCTTATTGTAAAGCATAGCACTTGGCCCATAAAATATACTCAAATACTAGGTGTCACGATTCCTATGATTAGAGGAATGTTTCACATCTGTGCTAACACTGTCATCACTACTACAAATGAGCAGGTTCTAACTCTGCTTTTAAACCAAAGTCTTTATGGTGGCCTTTGAAAATCCTAGACATTCTGGTCCTCATGTGACCTTTCTGACCTCATCTCTTACAACCATACCCCTCCCCTCCACACACACTTACTCTGCTGCAGATACACCTGGCTTCTTTATTGTTCCTTGAACAAGTCATGCTCCCACCTTAGGGCCTTTGTGCTTGCTGTTGTCTCTTCTTGATATCTACATGGCTGTGTCCCTTGAATGGCTCACCTCCTTCAAGCCATTGATTAATTATCACCACCTCATATCTTTAAATAAAAAAACCTATGGGAGAGTGAAAAAAAAAATTACCTTCTCAGAGGTGTCTACTCTGGCCACCTCATTTAAAATTACAACACCCTTCCTCTGTATGCCATCATCCTGCTTTTTTCTTTATTTTTTTTCCTATAGCACTTAACCACCATCCAATACACTGTATATTTTACTTGTTTATTGTCTGTTTTCTCATTCTACTACATATACATGCTCATAAACTCCAATGTATATTCCATGAGGGCAGAGAATTTTGTCTATTTTGTTCATTTTTGTGTCTCTAATACTTACAGTTGTCCCCAGTGACAAGTGCTCAATAAATATTCACTGAATGAATGACTGAGTGCTAATTCAAATATTATTGCTTTAGTGAAGCTTTTCCTGCTTCCCTAGGCATGACGACATTCTTTTCTGTGTTCCTGTGACACTTAATACATTCTTCAATTGTAATATTTATCACATTGTATTTTTATGGAAAACATATTTAAAGCTCTTAAATTTAACCAGATGGCATATCATTCAAAAGCAGTTTTATTTAAGTGACTGAAACCTTACATTGCAAAGATTTTATCAAAATGACTACAAAAATCATGTTCTGTGAGTGTTTTTAAATTGCATTCACATCATACTTTGTGAGTTATTCCTCAAAAGTAAATCCAAGCTTGAGAAAAATCTAAGAAAAAGCAAATTAGAAATTAAATTCCAACACACAGAGAAACCTTATCTTATGTAGTGGCATATTCTGCATTTTGACATAACAGAAACTTTGCTATTTGGCTAGCAAATAGCAAGGAGACTTGCAAAATTCTGCTTTCTCAATGTATCGGCAAAGTTATAAATATGACTGATAATTTGTGAAGACAAGCCATTTCAAAAGTCAGCTCTGAAGGAGTATACCTGTGTAGATTGGTTTTGAAGAAGGCTTTCTTCATCTGGGGAAAAACATTCACTAATTATTCTTAAAACCCTGAGGCATATACATAAGATCCAAAATCCTCATCCGAGCCAGAGCAATGATGAATAAAATCTTCTTATGCCTTGGGTGAAAAGTTGTGAGCAAGGATCAATCTTAAATACATCTCTATGCTGCTGACTGAGTTCAGGGATGGCTAATCATGTATTTATTCACTGTTATCTTTTTGTGTGTGATAGATAGATTGATGAGCATATTTTAAGCCATAGATTGATAACCTGTACCTGCCATTCCCTGCTGAAAATATCTTACGGCATATCTATGGGAAAAGTGACTTGTCCTGGGGCAGGAGAGGTGCCTACTGGATGGAATCTTCTGTCTGTACCGGGAGGTGATAACGATCTAAAGAACCCCCCATCTAAAGTGGTGTGACAGCTGTGAATGCCTTTGACAGTGGTGATTATCAGCTTCAGTGAACACATTTTAACTTGTAAAAGATATTCATAATGAGTAGGTGCTTCTGGGATGAAATCAGAACTAACATCCACTCCTGGCTAGTGAATTCATATCTTCTCTGCTGTTGCATTTTGGCTTTCTCAAATTCAAGGCAATGCAAAAATCCTGATATCGATGAACCTCATAGGTTGGAGAAACAGAGACAATGATTTCTGGCAATACCCAATTATTGGTGTTCTTCAGCCTAAGTCCTAAGAGATACGTGATTGCACTGTAAACTGGAAACACTCCAGAATTAAAATTCAGTTTGGTGCCTGGTTCAATCTTCCTTGATTAGACCTGTGTGCTAGAACCTGCTGTTGGTTTGCTTTTAGCTCATTTTCCTCATGTCTCTGGCTCTGTTCATTGAGTCTGCTGAGAAATCATGCCCTCCAACTGTATGTTTTATTATTTTTAAGATTATTTGTTCCTTCCATAAGAGAGAGACAGAGATAGAGAGAAACAGGTACTCCCAACTGGTCATCAGGCTGCAATACACTTCCCATTTTAGCCAGCCTGGATCATGGGCATCTCTATGGCATGCACAGGGAGACCTTGGGACAGGAACTCAAGACCTTCACATATGGTCCAGCATCCCAAAGTATTATCACCACTGCCCCACTGACTGACCCACAAATCGGCATTTTAAATGTTCTACGCATGCATGTGTACCCTTACCTCACTAGAATGAAGACTTAAAGCTATGATAGGCCTAACAGGTAGTCATTAATTAACATGCTGACCTCTTCCAATGTTTCTGGGAGCTTTATAATACAAATATTTATTCATTTCCCAGGAGGTGCTTATATTATACGTGACCCTTCATTTTTTTTAAGAATTATTTTATTTAACTTTATTTATTTGTTCACTTTAATTTGGCCAGTGCGAGCAATAAAGAGAGAGAGAAAGCAAGCCTCCAGGTCTGGGACTGCCCCATGGTCAGTCACGTGGGAGTCCAGTGCCCTTAACCATCACACCACCCACTGGGCCCCCATGACCCTTTATTTAGTATCTCTTTCTCCATAGAATATCTTGGTTCTGTCAGAAAATTTATGATTCTGGATGGTAGTGTACATTCCAATGCATAGTTACCCAAAAAAAGTACTGATTTTACAAGGAATTGAAGCTTTTCCTACTTGCTCACTTATTTTCTTTAATAATGATTGGTGGGTCTCTTCCGAAATCTAGCCTCTTAAAAATACCTTTGAAAACACCTTATCAAATCTATAGTACTGCCTTTAACTGATTCAAACTTTGTGTAACATTTGACCCTAAAGACTTCTCTCTTCCCTGTGACACCTACTTCTCCCTGGACCCACAAAAACCACTCCTTCCTGTGATTTGCTCCACCAGGCCCAATCCATTCCAAGATGGCTTTGGCCTCTCTTACCCCTCAGCCTTTAAAGAGTTCCACTCTTTCTTCCTGAATAAGAGCATTCATAGCTTCAAAGATCCTCCAAATAGTTCTCTTCAAGTCAAATATGTCTCATAAAATCAAAACATATATGTTCCCTTATTCAACAAATTATTTTCTTCTTCTTTTCTTTTTTTTTTTTAGGAAAATATTTGTTTAAAGATCATTTCCATTTATCAGTCAAACATGGTCATTTATATCCAAAATATATATGTTTAATTTTAACATCAAATACAGATATTTCACATTTATTTTCATATTTTAACTGAACTCATTAGGAGGTATAAACCTCTTTCTAGTCCAGCAAGTCAACAACTTGACCAAGATCTACCTTGTGGTTGTCAAACCACTTCCCTGACCAAGTTAGCTACAAAAGGGCAACATTCACGTTCACAGAGTTGTGGCTCTACAGGCTTTTTTTTATTAAGAAATTTTTTGCTATAGGTCCTGTGTGCTTGCCAGGGAGACAGAGAGAGATAGAAAGCAAGAAATCACTCCCCAGGGGGATGGCCACTCTGCAATCCCTTCTCCTTCATTTTCCTCTCAGGATTTTGGGCACACACGCATGCGCGCCCAGTGTGTTTCAAGCTGCTGGGCCCGGGACTCAGACCACGGTTGACCACATGGGAGTCCAGTGCCTTAATCATATGCAATTTGCTGGACCCTCAATGAATTCTTATTCAAGCTGCTGGGCCCGGGACTCAGACCACGGTTGACCACATGGGAGTCCAGTGCCTTAATCACTATGCAATTTGCTGGACCCTCAACGAATTCTTAAAGAATACCCAGTACATGGGAAGCCCATAAGCAAGTAGGATGCCCTGTAGGTACTTTTCTATGTCTAAAGTTTCTTACTTTCTTCCAAAAGAACAATTTCATCTATATTCCTTAGCTTGATAAATGATACTATTATCCATTTGGCCACCCAAGCCATAAACCGGATTCATTTGAAATATTTCTTTTTCCTTCATTATTCACCCTTAACTCCCACCAGTGACAATTCCCACATACAGATAGTTACCACATCCTAACAGTTAATATCTGAATATTACAAATCTGTGCTTTCTTTTATAACTCCGTGGCTTCTTAGTTTAGGTACTGAGCCTTCTTTCAGCCCCCTCCTCATCCTCTCCTTTCTCTTCCCTTCCTACTCCTGTTCCCCTCTCCTTTCCTTCTACTCCCTTCCTACCCCTCCATGAGAAACAGATGGGGTCGGGGGTGATAGGTGTCCTTGACAGGGTCTCACTTTGTCATGATCCTTTGCCCAAGCTTCCCAAATAGCCAGGACATGGGCATGCAAGTTGTACAGGGAACTGAACCTGGGCCTCCTTTGTGGCATCCAGCCTTCCAGGCAGTGAGGATACCTGTGCTCCATCATAGCTAGGCAAGATACTCATCACTTTTTGACTCATCTTGATCTTTTCTACTTTATCCTTTGTATTATTGCCAGCAACAGACTTTCTTGATAAGCAAATTTCCTTTCCTACAGAAATATATGGTTCTAGACCACCTTCAGAATTCAGGCTGAGCTCCTCAGCTTAGCCATAAGACCTTTCCATCCCTTAGTTCTTGCACCATCTCTTGTCATTGTGTACTCGTCTCTAAACAACCTGCTGTTGTTTAGCCCTTTATCTTCCCTCTACACTGTCATTCCTCTTACAAGGAGTGACATAGCCTAATGGATAAGTATGTGAACTTTCGGGTATAAAAAACCTGTTAGCCAATCCAAGACAAGTTGTTCTCTTTTTTGAGCCTCAGTTTGATTGTGAGAATGAAAACAGATACTGGTTGACCAAATTAATAAATTATATGTTCATTAAGTGTCTGTTAGCTGCCAGGTCCTATTGTAGTGACTGCAGATCTAACAGTGAACAAAATGGTTGAAGCCCTTGCCCTAAGGAACCTTATTTTCTGTGTGGTACACAGAAAATGAACCAAAAAAGTTTACTGTTATTATTACTGTTCCAAGGGCTTAAGTACCAGCTCCTTGAGGGAAGTTTCCAGACCTACCTCCCAGATTCCATTCTGAGTTAGGTACTCATCTTCTGTGATCCCATACCACCTTATGCAGTGCCATTATTATAGTACTTCTGTTGTATTCTAATAGCTAATTATTTTTATCTTGTTCACTCATAACCCTGGGAGTTTCTGGAGGTCAAAGCCTGGGACTTTTCTTCCTATTTTACTAGCTCCTCCTACACAAGACAGCCAGTTATAAGTGCTAAATGAACAAATTAATCTTTTAGGGTATGCCTGATGTACTATTTAAAAATAATGTCTACCACTGGTGAGAATTTGCTTTACGATAGATATTGTAAGTGCTTTCGATGCATTCTGTAATTTAATCCTCACAGCAAAGCTATGAAACCAGGATCATTACACCTGCTTTAGATGAAAAAACTCAATCTTAGAGACGTAAAGTACTTACCAAGGTCACGGAGCCAGCAGGTGGTGAAGTCAAGCTCAGGATCCAGGTTTGCCTCACAGCTAGGCCCCTACTTTAATTGTGATGTGTGGTGAGAGGAGCCACTTTTCTACAGGTAGTTGGAGATGTTGGACAGGAATCTGTACATACTTAATTTTAGATATACCTGTGCACATAAGACAAAGCTTTAATCCACAATCCAATATGTGAAAATACTTTAGCTTTTTTTTTCCTATAATGATCTGGGTGATTCTCCCCACCATGCTGGGGTTGGTTTGGGGAACCAGAAATAGTTTTAAACTTGCCAGTTCACAGTATTTCAGCCTCTTCTGGTTAGACCATCTTGGGGGGCTCCATCTCTTGGGTGAATGTTCATCTTTCAGATATTCTTCCCTTTCCATAGCCCTCTGTAAGACAGTATCTGGAGGACTAAGTAATTGGGCTCATAGAACAATGAGAAGGTAGGAGTAGGAGCCCCCTGGTCTCCTGCTGGTCTTGGGGTTTATGACCCTGTATCACTCTGCTTAGAAGTAGCTGGTCAGACCCCATCCCAAGGGCAGCCTGCTGGTGTCCTGTGCAGACCCATCAGCTGTAGTGTCTTCCTACAAACTTGGCCCTGGCACTGTGCAGCCTCCTTAGAGCTGGTTCCCCCTCATATTTGGTATCTACCACCAAAGGTTTCATCCTGTGCACCCAAATGAAATATTCCTTTGCCTCTGTTGTAAAGACACCCCCTCATACACCCACCATAACCAACATACACACTCAGCTCTCCTGTATCACCATCTGATCTCCCTCCAGCTTATCCTCCACAGGGGAGATAGAAACTTCTAGATACTTGTATGTTTCCTGCTAACAAAAGGAGAGCTCAAGAGTCAAACTGAAGCAGAACCTCTCCCTAATCTTACCAAGCCACCATTTTCAGTCTTCACTCTAGTACATCTGCACCTTGCTTGGGATGTTAAGGAGTTCACTCTATAAGAGTCATTTCCTAGATTCTCAAATAGGGAAGGAAGCAAAAGAAAGTCTCTTAGGTTTTGGCTTTGTCCTCTGCCTAATATCTGTCTTCTAGGACTTGAGCCTGGAGACCTGCAGTTGGAAGACTGTTTTGTCCTATGTTCATCTCCTCCTTTCTACACTCACTTGGGACTGCAAAAGTTGGGCTTTTCCCTCCCTCATCCTGCATTTTCTGCACTTTTCCTATATC